AGTCACTTCGAAACAAAATGGCGACCCGTGTAGATCGGCTCGATTCGAAAAGTTAAATAGCCGTAGCATCTTTGTAGACAACCAAATTAATTTACTTTTGTGTTTTACCATCATTTTTTAACTTGGTTTTGGTCAATTTGATCGTCCACACCGAAAGACAGTATTCAGAAAGAGACAGAGAGAGAGAGAGAAGAGGGGAGGAGTTGATCTTGCGAGAACTTCTAACCTCTTATTCCTGATTATAATACTTCTGCTTTGGTCTTGTCATAATACCATTGTCAACATCATTTCATCGGTTTTGCAGTGCTTCCAAAGATAATTCTTTCATAGACTTTATAAAGTTTGTTTTGCGACTCCGGTTGCAACTTGTAATTATTATTGTAAAGTATTTGGGTGCTTTAGTGAGAGTTACTTCCCCATTACCTGGCCGCCAATCTCTGCTTCAAACAAGGTTCACAAATAAACGAATTCACGAACATTACAGTCGAAAGCTACCATTGACAATTGACATGATACAGAAGAGAAGATTTCTAACCTCGATTGGCTGGGGATTCCCAAAATGGTGCAAAAACCTGAAAGGTTTATCGGGCGTATACTCACCTGCAGTAAGAGAGAACAGGATGCTGTTTCTTTGTCTTTATTGTCGATATAATCTATCCAGGGGCGGTTTGTTAACTGGACAAGACCAGCGGTGCCGGTCAAATTTTTGTCAACTGGGGACAACTGGACAGTTGACAAGAGATTTATTGCTGATGATGATTTTCATTCAGTTTTAAGTAAATCCAAACAAACGTGTATCAACAGTCAAAAAGCGCCTTGCCGATTTGAAGGCGTCCAAATAGACAAGTGATTCGCGGCTGTTTTGTCGCGTTTGTTTATCACGCCGGCTCACAACTGTTACAGTTATTCTAAATCATCTCCTGTCACGTCGCGGAACTTCGTACGAGGACAAACCGAACACGGCTCGCTCAGCGATGACGTCAGTCCGCTGGGCAAATCCATCGACAGTCTACAGAGGGAATAGAACATCCCTTAATTGCCAAATTGGCCTCTGTGTTGCTTACAAAATTAAGAATGAAACTGTCTTGAGCAGCACGGACACATGTATTATTTTATCAGCAATACATCATACATGTATTTATCATTCAGCCTTTCTCTATCTATTATAAGAACATTTATTGTCAGCATGGCACTAATCTTTTTTTGTTTATTGAATTTTTAGCCACCTCCTATAGTTCCTGTTTGGTATTAATTCATCGCTTTTTCCCCACTAAAAACTTACCTGGCCCATAGGAGTCTGGCCGGCGAAAGGAGGAATTGTCTACTTAAGTTATATTATAAGGAGAATTATAACGAGGAGCGATAGGCACTCGGCTGTCAAAGTCTGGGCTGAGAACAGTAAGGCCTACCCCTCCCTTCCCTCCCTCTTTCCACCGTCACCCCAGCAAGACACCAAGTTCTATAATTAGCGTTTGACACACTTCCCCACTCTGTTACAACAGTGTTCTGTTCTGAGAACTGAGAAGTGCAATGAAGAACGTTTGATGATATAATGATTGGAAACTGTTGTGTGCTAACTTTGTCCAGCTTTGTATAGTATCTGATTGTAGACTTGATCTACATGGGACAGCGTCACGGGTACAGTATCAGTTGACTTTTTGTCATCATACACTTTCAGTTTGTTTTCTAGGATAGTTGTGTTTCTTTTTCTGTGCCGATCAAGTCAGTTTCTATTAGTCTCAGTAACTTCCATCATACGTTTTTCGTACCTTTGTTTCTTTACACTACCATATTTTAGCTCTTTAACATTATATTATAATGTTTACAATTGTGTGTGCGAGTTGGGGAGGGGGTGGTGTTGGCGAAAGTAGGGGGGGGGGAAATGAGGAGAGAGAGAGAGAGAGAGAGAGAGAGAGAGAGAGAGAGAGAGAGAGAGAGAGAGAGAGAATGTGTGAGTATGTGTATGTGCGTGCGTGCGTGTGTGTGACTATGTGTGTGTGTGTGTGTGTGTGTGTGTGTGTGTGTGTGTGTGTGTGTGTGTGTGTGTGTGTGTGTGAGTGTGTTGTGAAGGAAGGGGGTGGGGGGAGTGAGAAAGAGGCGATGTGAATGACGGCCGGTCAGTTCTATAAACCACGAACCGCCACTGAATCTATCCAGATGCCAGATGGGTTTCGAAGCAGTCACTTGATCTAGCAGAAAAACGGAAACTCGATGCACAAAAATGGTGATAAGGAGTCATGGCTTGTGGCTCCGATGGCATGTTCTTGAACTAGGCTCCTTTTTTTTTTTAAAGCAGTAGGCCTACATTCTATTTTTAATCTCATGAGAAAAGATGAAAAGGTCAAACATGTTCAACATTTGAATAGGATATAGGTTCTAGGATATCTATATCTTAATGGCATTTCAGATGCTTGGTTCCACAAAAATGATTAAACGAAAAATTGCATTAACTATAATTTCAATAAAACTACACCAATGTCTGAAACCTAGAAACATCTCAATGACGACCGAAATAAAAGCTCTAATTTAAAAGGCTACATGTGATCAACGCTTTCTATATTATTTAATTATATGGTGCTACAGGCTAAATGCTGGACAATAGTGACAGTGAAAATAAGAGAAGCAACAGGAGTATAGTTTATTAGGAGTTATATATATATATAATTATGGGACTGTTGGGAATGTCTTGGAAGGGAACAGAACTCAAATGAACTTGAATTTAAGAAGCTCGCTGATAAAAAAAAAAACAATTAGGAAGAGACATAATATGTTGTTCTGGGCACTTGAATAGACAAAAGAGCCCAGAACAATTGAACAACTACAACTTAAGTTATATAGCTCTCACGCAGAATTGAAGACAACGAGGCGAGGGGTACACCATATAAATGTTTTTAATAGAAGGCTCTAGGCACTTGAGGTAGATCCAGAGCTTACTTACCTAAGCCTAAATTTTTTAAAATAAATGAGTGACGGGGAAATCTAGGGATAGCATATATATATATATATATATATATATATATATATATATATATATATGGGGGGCGCGCCTTTCTCTCTATGGGGGGGGAAAAAAAAAAAATATATATATATATATATATATATATATACACAGACCCAGAGAGAGAGAGGGCCGGCCCCAGAGATACTCTCATATATTTTGATATATATTTGTTGTATACGGGTGTGTGCTCTCTCTCTCTCTT